CCTGTTCCTCAGATCTTGGAGTTTCCTTTTTTTCACACTGCTTTCTCAGAATCCATTTGAAAGCATTCACAGGACTGAAATTTACAGTTGTCTATGTCATAAAACAATTAACATTGCTCTATAAAGTGAATTCAATTATTAGATCCATCTAATGATCTTGCACAGATACAAAGGGCTCAATATAATCAGTTACTTGTGTTCCTGGTATCCAGTGAAACATAATTGGATACAGCCACCATAGAGATTTCAGCTTGATGTTCAAACCATTAACACTTTAATGTAAAAATAAATAGATTACTGTTCATAAAATAAATGTAATTACTAATGGACAAGAAGTAATGAACTGTGGAGTGCATCCAGTTCAAACAGTATTCCTCAACGTGTGTTTGCGTGTAAATGTCTGTAACTATTAAATATATGTGATATTTAAAAATATTTCCAAATTACTAACTCCACATACAAGTTTATCTTCTTCCCAAAGCACTATGTATTTAATTGAGCCCTTGGGTTTCTAATCACTTTTAATTTATTACTGATATGTAAAACCTACATACTTCACCAATGGACAAATGCTTTAGAATGAAACCTACTGATGCACAAACTTGATTTAGTTTTTCACTGTGGAAATTAAAGTAACAGGGAAAATGTGTAAATCCCATCACACAAGACATTTTAAATTACTCTGAGCAAAATAGCTTTTTAGAATATATTAGAGGCAACAGTTTTGCTTTGACCAAAAAGCTGAACAGGACAATCTGTCAGTCTTATCCATCCCTAATTCCTATTTAGCAAATTTTGTGGTCCTTACTGAGTTTGAGTTCATTTAAACTTTTTCTTGGGCAAAATTCCCTTTAATTTCAACAAGCATTTTATTTGAAGAGGCAGTGAAATACTTCAAGATTTGGCCCTGCAAGTTTAGAAATAACATCTTTTTCATCTCAGTTCTATTCATTCAGGAGCAAGTGAGATATTCAGAGATTCCCAGAGCATACAGACTCTCCAAGTCTCTCTTGCCTTTGTGCCAGCAGAAGGTAGAAATCAATAACAGTAAAATTATGATGAGGCACTGCACCTCAGTAATAAAGTATTCAGTGGACTGATTCACCAACATTCCTCGGTATCACATTTGTCTTTTCCCCTGAAGATTGTAGTATATACATGCCTTCAAGGCTTTAGGTCAGATCCTAGTGCTGGAATGCTCTCTCTCTCTCTCTCTTCTGCATTGATTCAAAGGAGAACTGGTACCTGTAAGCCCATTGACAAGTGAGCTTGCAGGCATAGTTTGGACTGTGAGGGCTTGACTGGACTTATCTCAGATACTGAAAGCAGTTTCTCCGAACATCATAACGTGATGCAAAGCAGTTGACAAGAGATTGTTGTTCGCGTGGAAATGAATCTAACCCAAACTATGCTGGCCATATGCAGAGCAGCATGGCTAGTAAGCAAGAGAGGATATTTCGTTTCTCTCTGCAGCCTATTCTTTCATATCTGATAATGGTAAACTGCTACCAACCTGATAAAAGCTAAAAAGTTGAACTTCACCAAGCCACACATGCATTTATTGCCTAGAACGAAAGGGACTGGCAATAGGAATTCATAAAAAGAGGACTGAACCAACTGGAACTAGAGGAAGCAGCTAACCAATAACACACAAATGAGGACCAGCACTGCAGTATTGCTGGGTGCAGCTCTGAAAGCAGAGCTGTTCCGTTTTGTCAAAAAGAGGAGCAAGCGGTCTTCACTTCTGACTTGCCATTACCACTATCCTCCTACTTCTCACCCTTTCAGGAGAAGGATCCTGCAACCCGGAGGAAATTGAGATGTTTGCTTTGCCTTATCTGATGACTAGCATTAAAAAAAATGGTTTGTGTCCCAGCTTATTCCATACAGAAATCTCTTTTCTACTACCACATTCTGGGCTCCATAGTTGACAGAGGGTTGAGTTTACAGGCAAAGTAATTAAAGTCTGAGGATAATTAACACCCTGTGAGAACAGGTCTCTGTGCTAACTCTGAATCTACTGAGATTCTGCTGAAGGCAGCTCCAATCTGTCAGGCCCATTAGCTTATCTAGATGCATATATCAGCATTACCATCATTGCGGAGTAGGTGTAGGGGTAATGGTAGGCCAGGTAGCAGATATCGTCTTTATGAGGGAAGGTGATACTGAAGGCAAGCGTGTAGTAGGATTTTCTCCTTATGCCTCCTGCTGTAGCTGCATAGCTGCGGTAGTGGTTTCTGAAAGAAGAGAAAGAGGGGGAAGAGGTTATCACTTCTGGATGCCCCTTTGAAGTGGTCATGAAAGAACTACACATTCAGAGAAGTGAATCACCTTGAAAGACTTTTCACTTCAGGCTGCAGCTGGGCTCCAAACTCAACCAGCTGTTGTACTAAGCCTGGGAAGGCCCCATGCAAGTACAATCAATCCGATTCCAGCAATGGACAGGTACAAAACGTAACACAGTGCTAAACAACACTCAGTAACACAGCAGTGCACCTACAGACTGTGTAAAAGAAAGAAGGTTAGAGAAACCGTGGTACCAGCAGACATGGAGATGCAAGCCAGATTCACAGTTGTGTTGGGATTCACTCACGAGAGAGCAAAGGCCAGCAGAGAGCAGGGAGTCAAGAAGCAGAGCACTGTGCAGCAGCACTGGGCACAGTCAGTCCCAGCTAGTCATGTGTTGCTGACAGATGGGAGCGCTCTCATGGAAAATAAGAGTTTAATTTGGTAAAAAGTGCAAATAAGAAAGAGGCTAACGAATGCTAGTTCACATTCTGCAGTATAGACATATCTAAACTAATGCATCGGGCTAACACTGCTGTATTGCTTCTGATGTCCAAGTTATCTTGGTTAAAGCTGCATGTGCCTTTTCACATTCCCGAATTACGCCATGTGAAAATGTTTTGTGAGACCCTGGAGGCCTGAAAAAAATAAATATCCTGCTGGAATAAGAAACTGAATAAGTCATTCAGTCCCAGCATAGGGCATTGAAGAAGAGGGATGCTGTAGAAAAAAGTTAGGGCATACATAAAATCTTTCAAGTATCATCAAAGGCTCTCTCCTGACTATGAAGAGGAGGGAAGTGGGTTTGGGTAGAGACTTCCTATGTAGAAAAAATGACCTCATGCAGATTTACAGGTCATGAGCTAACCAAAATCCCCTCCTTGGCTTCCTCCCTTCCAATTACTTGAGCCTTGCCCTGTCAGGGAGCAGTAAGGGCCGGCTGCTCCCTGAGGGACAGGGAGCCGCGGGCAGCATCACAGCCAGTAGGGCAGAGGCCCAGGGACGGCAGTTAGGTTCATCCAAGAGCCCGGGTCATCAGGCATGTCCACCACGGTGGTGAGGCAGAGCTGAGGGCAAGCCAGGAAGTCAGTTCACAGGTCAGGGTCCCAGTCAGCAGGGTTCGTGGCCAGGCAGGCGTACAGCTGTGACCAAGCTGGAGATAGGCAGTCCTACAACACAGCGCAGCAGGGACTGAGGGCCCTGGGCTGAGATGAAATGGGGCTCTTGGGCCCATGGGCAAATCAGGTGGATGGAGACCCCAGTGAGGCTACTCAGGGCTACTAAGTCCTATTAGTGCACTCAAGGCCCTGACATCCCTTCATTAAAACTACAGAAATCTTAAAGTGCACTTCTCCATCTGGTTTCAGGGTAGAATCTCTTGCAGGAGACTTACTCTCATAAAGAGATAACTTTAGGATGAACAAGAAAGTTATTTTAGCAAAGATGAAGAGACAATTCATGCACTTTAAGGAGAAGCTTCGCAGCAAATTGCATCCATAAGTACATTTCAAACAATATTTTCCCCACATTGCACCAATTATGCTGTTGCAGAACCTTCTGACTCTGAAGCACTGGGAGGTTTCTTTGACAAATGTTATCATCAATGTCGCATTAAAATGCAAAATACAGGAGGCAACCAAAAGATGCAATTTCAGCTCCTGAAATTTACAATACTAGTTTATTTTGCTGCTGTTCATTTTTATTCAAAGGGGTGGAGTGAAAAGATAATTATTCTTGTCAAATTCTCCAAAATAATCAGCTCTTTTTCATAAGGAAGACATAATGCAATACTGTTTTTTTTTTCACCTGAATTCAGTAGTCAGAAACATGTAGAGTGAATGATACTGACTGCATCAATAGATAGTAAAGGAACACTGAGTCACAGTGGCAAACTGAGAAGCCTCTGACTTTATCCTCAGCTGAGCCCTTCACCCCAACATTTCTTTTACAGATGAACTACATTAACATCGGACAAAGAGACTGAGATTAAAAACGCAGTGAGTTCACAAATAAACATCTATTTAGCTACTACATATGCATTTCAATTGGTCCAGGATTTCAGGCTGATGTTTTTTAAGTCAGGACAATGCTATTTGATTTAGTTCCTGTTAATTTGGACAGTGAAGGATAATTAAGAACATTTCTTGTATAGTGTACAAGATAAGTATTCATCTCCCCAGACTCTGTTGTACTCAGTGTCACTTAGAAGGTCAGATGACCTTATCCATAAAGAACTATCAGAAAGTGCTGCAATTTTCTGACATATTCCAGAGTTCCCCTCTCCAAGTTCACATTTCTAGTCAGAGGTGTGGGGTGAAGTGGGTCTTACAGGCAATTACTGCCGAAACATCTTCCATACACTTTTGGGAATGTGTTGCCGCCTGACTCACTTCAGTAAAGGCTTCTCCCTCTATTTGTAATTCTGCAGTCAAAAATGTCTCCCTGTCTAAAACGGCCACTTTACTCAGAAATTTTGCACCACCAGATACCTCTGATCTTGCTACCCTAGCAGTCAATGCTCCTTACTCCTGACAGTACTCTGATCTCATCAGCCTGAGGGAACCTATGCACAGCTCTTGCACTACATCGCTTAGCAGCACATTTCATTCTTGTTTTGAGCACCTCTGCAGTTCCAGCAACAAGCTTACCACCAGAGTAGATATTTCTGCACTTCTGAATCACTTCTTGATACCTGCTTCAATCTATAGCAAACTACCTAATAGTAAGTTTACAACTGGCTTTGTGAGGCTTCAATATTCTTCACTCGTACATTAAAAAGAAAAATCACCTGTGCATAAGCAGTGTAAATGACCATGTTTTCCTACAGCAGATAATCTGGTCTCCTCACAATCCACCATGTAATGCAGTACTGACATAGAGACAACACAATTTCCCTAAGGAACTGTAGCGTCATGCAGTAGGAGGTACTCATTTTCTGTCTGGAGAGCACGAATGTATTTTTGCCTTTCATCTGTCTGGACTTGAGGGGAGGAAAAAGACCCTATCAAGATCTGGTCCTCACTACCTTATTTGTGTTTTCTTTCCAAAAATGTTCCCAAAGGTTTGCTTGCATTCCAAAAGCTAATACACTGGTTATTAGAAAAGAAATAAGAGACCAAAGGGTGTTTTTAGCAGCATGCAAGCTGTATCTACTGTGACTTTCAGTCACTCTCTGTAATAGTTAAATCATTTTACTTACTGTTCTCCTTCAGATATAATGTGCAGGTAGTATATTTCTAACATAGGTGTGATTGAAAATTAATTAATAATAATTACTATAATACTTATCACTTATTCTATACAGTAATTTTTCAAGCTTCAAAGTCCTTTGCAAGCTTTATTTAATTAAAATTTGCCTCCCATTCATCTGTTCCCATTCTTTGAGTGGCTGATAAGCAACGGTAATTATCCACCTTTTATAGATGGGGAAACTGCGACATAGACAGGTGAAGCCACTTGGCCAAAGACACAGGCATGCCAGTCAGTAAAGGAGATGGACTGGAACTCAGGAATTCAGCATCACCACGCTATAAAAGAACAACACGTTGCACTCACCCTGTGCTTTCACTTCCTGCCTGCAGCATTTAATCCAGTAAAAAGCACTGGAAGGTGATGGAGTATGACATAGTGTCAGCTTAGACTAAAGCCGCAGAGGAAAATATCTCTATCCCAGATTTCTAGGCCATTTGAAAATAGAGTCTAAATTTATAGTAAACTATTTATCACTTATTTTCTGCTGCTGATGCATTCCCTTCATCCAAAACTGGAGACTGGTGTCTTTGTTTTACAACATACCCCGATCTTCTTACATCACTAAGTATGACTGGTACTGCAATATACTTTAGCAACACCTTGGCTTATACCAGATACGAGCATTGTTTAACAATTCATGGACATGGCTAAATTCAGTTGTTATTTTGGGGTCTGCCACACTATACACTGGAAAACATACAACACAGCTTCCCTTCCAATGGTCAGATCCATGTTAGGGTATCTTTATTTTCAAGACTGAAGGTAGACTGCTATTCAAAGCAGCATATTCTCATAGCCATCTCCCTACTAAGGCCTACAGTCATATTGCCAAGGTCAGGTTTTATTGGTGTCTCAGCCCTCTCTTGCAGATATCACCAGAACTGAGAAGTGAGATGTCGTTTTCTGGCACATTTCAGCATTTTCTTCCCTCGTAGGAATCAACCAGGTGGCCTGCTTATGCTAACTACGATGTTTTCTTCTAATACGATTATAAAGATACTGAAGAGAAAAGAGAAGACCCAGTTCTGACACCGCTATGATCACCAAGCAGCCACTTCTTTAATGACGATGTGAGAACAAAACACTCCATGCACCTCGTTACTATCTGTGAACTGACTATTGTCTGAAAAAGCTGGAAGTTAGATAATATGCTTAGAATGAGCCAAAGAAACCAAAGGTGTAAGCGCATTCTCATGAATTCAGCATGCTGCCATTGTTCCTTAAATAATTTGCTGGAAATGAATATTCTTCAGTGCATAAAAGCTGCCAAGACAGCAAGTGAATTAGATGATCTTATAGTAACTGCATCTATGTTTGTCATAGGTGTATCCTGTCACTTCATGGGGAGGCAATAAAATAGAGCAGAAGTGTCACTCAGCTTCCTTTTCATAAGAGCACTGCTAATATTCTCCCTAGGATAAAAAAGTGTCTTCTGAGACATACGGGAAAGGCACATGATGACAGAGCTGTGTCACAACATTCATCTTTATGAGTGAACTATCCCATCTTCAGAGAAGATGAATGTCAGCAAAGATCAGGCAATGTGCATCACCCAGACATCTTGTGAGTGTGCCTTTCCTCCCACTGTCCTTCAGCTCAGAGGCTGCTATCAGTCAGAGCTGTGGAGTAAAAGTAATAAGAGCATCTTTGAGTTTCTCCTTATTCCTGTAAGTGTATCACTCTCTTTCCAAGTTTACGATCACCTCGTGGTAAAAGGAATTAGATGAGATTTTCTTCAAAATCAGCCAGTCCCTTAGATATCCCTAGGATAACAAGCAGTTATCCCAGATGCACAGATTGACATATAATTCAATGTACAATTATAAAACACCGAATATTCCAAATCAATACAACTCCATTCTCTCACATACTCGAACAAGAATCTGATTATAGGCTTAATTGTGCAATTGGCTTAATCTCAGAAGTCAGCTGCTATTTAATCACTGCACAATAACTGCCTTGTTAACGACATCAGAAGCCACTGCTATGGTAATCAGCATGTAAGGTTTGCTCAGCCTGCCCCTACTGGTGCCATTTCTCTCTTGCACTCAGAAGCCCACAGTCGCAGAAGCCGAAGGCTACGGGCATGCAAAGGGAAGCCACTGCACCACAGCATATAAGCACAACAGATCTAGAAGTGGAAAAGATTAGGTGAATAAAGGTTGGTGAAGAGTATTTCAAAGACAACGTAAAATTGTTATTTGAATTGTTACAGACAAGATGACAGATCAAAAGAGGATCCTCTCAACCCTAGACCCCCAAAAGAGATCACTACAGAGATTTGGGGTATGTTGGAATTTTCTTTTCTTAAAACACAAGTTTGAGATTCTGCTGCTTCTGGAAGGCAGCCCACTGCCATTGTTTGGGTTTCTTGTCTCATCAAATCCACTAGTGAACACAGCCAGCTCTGAATCTTAACAGTAAAATTGTTAACTTCAACAAAAATACCATTCCTCATAAGGAGAAAGACCATTATTTTAACCTGAGTTCTAAAAAATCCCTCGCTACGTGAGCTTGCGAAAAAAGGACTATTGGTTACTCTGTCAGAAAAGTTTAACTCTGTCCTGAGATCGCTACCTACAATGTCAGTCAATTGATGTTACTGTTAATTGTGTTAATGTCTTTCTGTTTTGTATTTCCCTGTCTGTCAGTAGTCCCTGAATGGCCCCAGCCCTGTACTTCAAACGTGAGGTATTTGGGGCAAGGGCCACCCTTTTGTTTTCTGCTTCTAAAGTGCCTAAAACAGTAGCCACAGAGTCCTGAGACACTGAAGAACTTTGGTGATGCAAACTGGTGAATAAGCATCATAACACAAAAAGTGTGTGTGAATGAGAAGAACAAAGAAAGTGGGAAGATTTGTCACTCAGATATTCTCATCCCAGCTTTCAAATCACAACAGGTAAGGCCAATTAACCCAAAATGCTACAGTATTTGGTTATTTGGCTTCTTCTGCAGTGCTCTACCAGTTCACCTCCAAAATATTACCTCCTCCTCTTCCTGTTGCAGGCTCCTCTTCCTGCTTGCACCACCCCAGGCTACATCATTCCTGGACACCCCACTTACAGGCATTCAGCCAAAAACCTTACTTAAACCTGTAATTTTCCTATTTTTTCTATTTTGTCCCCCAGCCTTCAACTCTGCCTAGACTTTCTGATACAAAACATACCAATTACTATAGTCCTGAAAACCCTTTCCATCTTTATCTACAAAATAATTAATAAATGTTGTGGATGAATTTTTGGAAGCCTTGAGAAAATGAAATAGGGTTCATTCAGCTTACTGAATCTCCAAGACCCTATGGTATAGAAACAGATTCATAAACAAATACATATTTGCATCTGTGCACCTATATATTTATCTACTTGTGCATATGCTAACCCTTTCCTTACTATACTCAGTTCCTATGTCTCTTACAAAAGTTGGTGTATGCAGAAGAAAAGCAATGACTCCATCCAGCTCATTTCTTCCTGGACAGGGAAAAACCACCTACAACATCTCTATGGGGAAAAACTTCCTCATATTCCTGGCTGCATCAGCAAGGTTTAAGCATCCCCAGTCAGTTCTTTTTCCTCCTTCTCTCTAGGGAAGAGAATTCCGCACATGCCCTCTTTCTCCCCAGGTACCTAATATAAAGATTTCACTTGTAGCTGTTTACTGAAGTTGGAAGCACAGAACACATTGGACTAGCACCAGTTTAGAAACATTTGAAACAGGTAGCAGTGGTAGTCAAAGTTTAACAACATCAATACATTTAACAGGAAGGGAACAGGCGGAAAGGGAAGCCACAAATAATTCACCAAAAGATGCACTTACTTGTAGTAGCTGATATCATAGCCCACCCGAAGCCATTGAGGCCTGCCCTGGAGAGCTTCCTTCACTGAATACATGACCAGCTGCATGCCTACATAAAACAAGACCATTTCAAGTGACAAGTGGCTTTCCCTGCTGGCAAAAGCATGGGTGGGAAAAGGCATGGTGGGAAGGAAAGGGAATGCAAGAAACATCTTTATTTTATCTGTGCTCTCTCTGCAGACAGTTTATACAAAGTAAATGCGTTTCCCCACAGTCCCAGGCTTGGCTCTGTTGAAGCTATGTCTGTATAAAAGACATGGCCAGAGGAAGTAAGCTGAATGGAGTTCATTAGAATATAAATTATCCTGCTGGCCTTTGCAGAGGAGGACTTCAAGCAGTTCTATTTATTTATTTATTTTAGACAGAGGAAGGGAAATAAGAGAAAAACAGGAATCAATGTACCAAACAGATCAATAATTTGGTTTGTCCAGTATTTCTTCCTTGGTCACACCATTTTTGAATCCTTAATCCTACCATAACATTAGAGAACTGTGGTACATCTAGTATCATTCCTTTAAAAAGCAACAAGTAAAATTAAATGTCTTAGCAGAAGGTTTAAAACCTGCCATGAGACCTAAATAATATTGGTTGTGCTATAAATGCTGACAATGATAATATCCATCTTTCTACCATATAATACTGGTAGATGACTTCTTCCTGACCTCCAAAATATTATCATTTCATGCCCTGAGGTATGAGATTTTCTCTCTAATCTGTATTGTGCACACACTATTCACAGCTGCATGAAGCCAGCCTATTTGCAGGCAGTTTTTCTATCGAGTTCTGTTGCTCTATACACTTGCCTGCTCTTTTACAGTCCAAGGTTCTTGCTCTCATCAGTAAAGCTCTCCTACCCCACATATACATTTATTTCCCACTGTTTCCTCTTCCCTGCACGTCTTTCTCCTTCACCCTTTTCAATTGAATACCTTCCTCCAGACTGCTCTGTATATCTGTTCAATGGTGCCTCCACAGTCTGATGGTCAAGTTGTACAGTAGCATCAGTGTCACAGACTCACAGAATCATTGAGGTTATATGTACCTCCAGAGTTCATCTAGTCCAGCCTCCCTGCTCGAGGCAGTATCAACTACAGCAAGTTGCTCAGGGCCATGCCCAGTAGGGTCTTGAGGATCTCCAAGTACGGAGACTCTATTTCTCTTGGCAATCAGTTCCAGTGTTTGACCACCCTCACAGTAAATAAGTTTTTTCTTATGTTTAAATGCTATTCCCTATATTTCAATTTATGCCCATTGTGTCTTGTCCTTTCACTGGATACTACCCAAAAGAGTCTGGCTCTGTCTTCTTTACTCCTTCCCTTTAGGTATTTATATACATTGATTAGATCTCCCTTGAGCCTTCTCTTCTCCAGGCTAAAAACCTCCAGCTCTCAGCCTCTCCTTGTATGAGAGATGCTCCAATCACTTAATCATCTTTATGGACCTTCGCTGGACTTGCTCCAATATGTCCATGTCTCTCCTGTACTGGAGAGCCCAGAACTGAACACAGCACTCCAGATGTGGACTCACCAATGCTGAGCAGAGGGAAAGGATGACCTCCTTCGACAGGCTGGCAATGCTCTTCGTGTTGCAGTGCTGGCCTTCTGTGTTGCAAGGGCACATTGCTGGCTCATGGTCAACTTGTGGTCTACCAGGACCCCTATGCTCTTTTCTGCCAAGCTGCTTTCCAGATAGTCAGCCCTTAGCATGTACAGGTGCATGGGGTTATTCATCCCCAAGTGCAGGGCTTTGCAGTTCCCTTTGTTGAATTTCAGTTCAAAAGCCTTGCTAAATTCAAAATAAACAACATCTACTGCTCCGTCCTCATTCACTAAGGTAGTCATTTCGCTGCAGAAGGGTATGAGGTTGGTCAAGCATGACTTCCCCTTCATAAATCCATGCTAACTACTCTTAATCACCTCCTTGTCCTTAATATGTTTGGAAATTGTTTCCAGGATTGCTTCACCATCTTCCCAGGTATCAAGGTGAGGCTGATCAGCCTGTACTTACACAGATCCTCCTTCTTGCTCTTCTTGAAGATAGGACTGACATTTGCTTTCTTCCAGTGCTCAGAAACATCTTCTGATTGTCATGGCCTTTCCATGATAACTAGGAGTTGTCTCATAATGATATCAGCCAGCTCCCTCGGCACTCATGGATGCATCCCATCAAATCCTATAGACCTGTCTATGTCCAGTGTATTTAGATGTTACCTAACCTGCTCCTCCTCCACCAACAGTAAGTCTTCATTGCTCCAAATTTTCCCAGTGGCCTCAGGAGCCTGGGATTCCTGAAGGTAAATTTTGTGTGTAAAACTGAAATGAGGAAGGCATCGAGTACCTGGGCTTTGCCATGTCCTTTGTCCTCAGGTCCCACGTCCCATTCAGCAGCAGGCCCACAATTTCCTTAGTCTTCCTTTTGCTGCTGATACTCCTTTAGAAGCTCTTCACATTGCCTTTCACATACCTCGCTAGATTCAACTCCACGTGGGCTTCAGCTTCCTTAACCCCAAGCATGCACACTTGGATATTGTCTCCCTATACTCTTCCTGGCTCACCTGACCCTGCTCCAACCTCTCGTGTGCTTGCTTTTTATGCCTTAGTGTTTTTAGGAGCTCCTTGTTCATCCATGTAGGCCTCCTAGCCACTTTCATTTGACTCGCTGCAGATCAGGATGGACTGTTCTTGAGCTTGCAGGAGGTAATCCTCAAAAATCATTAGTAACGTCATTAATACTGATGGCATATTTTCATAAGCATCCATTTGATTTCCCTTCTTCCTTTGGGTTCCTCTGTCAAAACTCTCCAGCCCTTTAAGAGCTGGCAAATATACCAGCAGACCTAGTACTACACTATACCACAGCCAAAGGTGAAAGGGAAAGGCGTTTCAAACACAAACTAGTCTACAGCTAGGACCCCTCTATTGCTGTTTCATGAACCAGAGACACGAGCTACATATAAGAAGTGATTCTGCATCAGGTTCCAGAACAAAGACCACAGTGAATCATGAGAGACGCAAACCTTCCCAGAAGCCCACTTCATCAGACAGGGTGGATATGTGGCTCAAGGGCTATAATGTCCTTAACATCCAAACTTTCAGCTCTTGCCCTTCTCCATAAGACGCAGTATAAGAACACATACAATGTACCCCCTCAGAGTTGCTGTTGGTCTGTCATCTCAATTCATTTCAAGAAATCAGTCTTTTCTTTCCATTTTCCCCATGGAAACATTCAGTTTTAGAAAACAAACAAGTCAGGCTTCTGGTAAAATCTCAGTATTTTCCACAGTAGACTGAATTGGTGGAAAAAAAGGAAGGAAACAGGTGGGGGTTGCACTTCCTGAGTTGCTCTGCTCCTTGTCACAAACGTTCCATTACATATCTTTTGCTGATGTGAAAACTACACAGTGCCATCTAACCAAGAGCAAAAGGAATGGGAAAATCAAAACCCACTGGTAAACATGAGCTGTTAAATATTGCCACCTATGGCACTTTGTCACTAAATCAGGACTGGAAGCTTCTAGTAGTATGGCATGGACGTTAGCCCAGGAAAGTGCAGAGGGATTATAACAAATAAACAGCATCTCTTATCCACAGTCTGTATAAATGTTACACACGTGCTAGAAGGGGTAGTGAGCCTCACTCAGGCAAGCCAGATAGCTAGAGTTTCAGTATCCTCTCAAAGCAGCAGGAGCAACCCGCAGAAAAACTGCCTTAACAGCCAATCTCTCCTACAAGCCATAAAAAAGCAAGTCCTTGCTTAGCCTCCTCACACTGGATGGTATTTTCACATTTTTCTTCCAAACATGTATTTTTCATTACATGCTTGAAGATGCGAGTCATGTCCAATATCAGGCTTACAAAACAAGGTGATAAAGGCTAACAACAGTCCAAATAACAGGCAACAAGCAACCTTCCACCAATAACTGCCAGAATCTCTAGATACGAAGCCACTGGTGGCAGTATCAGAGGTTTCAATGGGATTTGCAATAGGAAGGATGCCAATACATCCTGCCTTCAGGCTGCTACCAGGCACAATCACACTGAATTGTTTGGTAATTCATGGGAGCAGAATATGATGACAACACAAAATTCATTTTCATTTGGGATCTATATGAGTACTTGAGCTCCAGCCCTTAGGGCTAAAGTGTAAATGCCTTTTAATTCATTATGCCACTCTCCCAGCCAGTTTCACAAATACGTTCTAGCTCCCAGTGCTATTGCTTTTAGGTACATTGATCCTGAGAGAGTTCCCGTGGTGATGTCGAAGGCTATATCCACATGGCTTCAGAGGAATGCAAAGTCTGGTATTAGAAGCTTATTAAACATTCTGTGTCAGGTCTTGAGATGGTGTAAATTAACACAGCGCCATGGAAACAAATTTTAAAAACTACCTATACCAGCTAGGAATTCAAGCCACAGTCTCCATGCAGAAGAAATAATTTTTGTTCTAAAACAGGCGTTGAAAGCTGGCATTTCCCCTGCCTATTTCTGAGCAGTGCAGCCTTCCTCTTGAACTACAGACTGTGACAAGAACTCAAACACAGCAAGGAATAGATTTTTTTTATCATTAATGTCACCAGAAGTCTGAGCAGTTCGGACTGTAGAGGCAGAGAAGACTTTCCGGATAAACCCAAAGAATCATGGATATTTATTTGAGTATTATCCATATTTATTTACATTTTTGAAGACCTCTCCAATCTCATGTTGCTAATTCAATCCCAACAGATCCCCTTCCTTTCCTCTCCAAACCCCGGTGCCATTCTTCCAAAGTTCTGGTCTCTAATCACAGAACAATGACCTTGGTTCCACAAATCCTCTCATAGGTCTTAATACTCAGCCCACTCCTCCTGACAGTAGGGAAA